ATTAATATTAATATTAATATATTTTTTTTTAAACAAGTTGTAAAAGGAGAAGTTTAAACTTAAAGTTTGTCCTATACAAAAAAAAAAATACACCTTAAACTAACATGTTTTCAGTTGACTAGCAGATTGTCAGTTGAACAGAAAGGAAAAGTGCAATATTTATTTATAAATATAAATTAATTATAAAAAGTAATCTATATTATAGAAAAACTCTAAGAACAAAAAAGTAAAAAAGAGTACAACTTAAAGTTTATCCTATAAAAAAAAATATACTTTAAACTAACAAGTTGTAAGTTGACTAGTAGATTGTCACTTGAGCAGAAAGGAAAAGTGCAATATTTATTTATAAATATAAATTAATTATAAAAATTAATCTATATTATAGAAAAACTCTAAGAACAAAAAAGTAAAAAAGAGTACAAGCCAAATCTCGAGATTTTTATTTTTTTGAGTTGGGAAAAAAGGAAGGAGCTTGGGTTTAGAATAACGTTAACATTGGATTCCCAGATATTTCTGCCATCTGCGGCTCCCTTCTGTTCTGTTCTGTTCTGTTCTGTTCTTTTCTTGTTCAATATCTTTTGTCCTTTCAACGGCTCTTGCAGAATTACCGCCGACTCTTTCTCCTTTTTATTATTCCTTTCTTTTTTCTCACTCTCTCTTCTCTACTCCACGCCACTACTACTCTCTTCACACTTCCCCTCCTTCAAACATGGCCGATGAAGCTTCGTCCGTTCCAGTTCCGCCAGCTTCCGATCAGCCACCTCCTGAAGCTGATTCACTAGTTGTGGCAGCCCCGATGGTATCAGTGACGGTGACGGAGTCAGATTCAACTGCCAAAACGGGAAAGGAGGAACCTTGTTTGGCTTCAGCGTCGGATTCCTCTGCAATGACACAGAAAGAAGAAAAAGGAGAGTTCTTGCCGCCGCCACCTCCGATACTAGAGGTGGCAGAGTCTGAGTCAGAGGAAGTGGCAGAGAAAGTGGAACTGCCGCAGCCGGTGGTTGCTGAGTCAAAATCACTGGCGGCGATGATGGAGAAAGATGAACCGGGAGCAGAGTCTCAGGGACAGGCGAAATCTGCTGCTGATACTACCCAGGAAGATGTTGATGTTGCTGCCGAGGAGAGAAAGATCATTCCTCAAAATTTGGTATCTTTCAAAGAGGAGAGTAACAAAGTGGGTGATCTCTCCGATTTCGAGAGGAATGCTTTGCAGGAGCTCAAGCAGCTCGTGCAGGAAGCTTTGGATACTCATCAATTCACTTCTCCGCCACCAAAACCTCCGTCCAAAGACGAAAAGACAGCTGCGCCCTCTTCGGAGGCTCCTGAAGCTGAACCAGGATCGGATTCTGACAAAAGCACCGAGATAAGCCCACCGGAAGAAAACCCAGAAAAGGAAACAAAAGAAGCTGCAAAACCAGAGCCGGTTCCACCGGAGGAGGTTTCCATTTGGGGTATCCCTCTTCTCAAAGATGATAGAAGCGATGTTATCTTCTTGAAATTCTTAAGAGCAAGGGATTTCAAAGTGAGGGATGCGTTTGCCATGATCAAGAACACAATCCAGTGGAGAAAAGAGTTCGGGATAGATAAGCTAGTGGAAGAAAATCTTGGGGATGATTTGGAGAAAGTTGTGTTTATGCACGGACATGATAGGGATGGGCATCCTGTGTGTTACAATGTGTATGGGGAGTTCCAGAACAAGGAGCTGTATCAGAAAACTTTCTCGGATGTGGAGAAGAGAATGAAGTTCTTGCGTTGGAGGATTCAGTTCTTGGAAAGGAGCATAAGGAAGCTTGATTTTAGCCCTGGTGGTATTTGTACTATTTTCCAGGTTAATGATCTCCAGAATTCTCCTGGACCTGGAAAGAGAGAGCTGAGATTGGCAACCAAACAGGCTCTCCAGCTGCTTCAGGACAATTATCCAGAATTTGTAGCCAAACAGGTACCTTTATTCTGTTTGTTAGTGATTTATATTCTTGATTCAATTCTATGGAATAGTAGTATTGATTGAATGCATGGATTTTGTTTGGATAGGTGTTTATCAATGTTCCTTGGTGGTATCTTGCATTCTATACAATGATTAGTCCATTCATGACCCAGAGGACCAAGAGCAAGTTTGTTTTTGCGGGGCCGGCAAAGACTGCTGAAATCCTTTTTAAGTGAGGGAAATTCTTGGCCAATGAACTTGCTATTTTCAATTCCTGATCATGTTTTTCCTTTTTGTTGATTGAATTCTAAATATTGATGGGTTAAACAGATACATATCTCCTGAGCAAGTGCCAATACAATATGGTGGGTTGAGTGTTGATTACTGTGATTGCAACCCTGAATTCAGCTTTGAGGATACTGTCACTGAGATCACTGTAAAATCAGGGACCAAAAAAACTGTTGAAATAACCATTTATGAGGTTCGAGTCATATCATGCTTGTTCTTGTGCCTGCAATTATCTATTATGTTTAGCTAAAAATATTATGTCATAGACATTGTGCTTGATGAATGTTTTATTGAATAGAGGATTTTTGTTTTGCAGAAATGCATCCTTGTTTGGGAGATCCGGGTAGTTGGGTGGGAAGTGAGCTATGGAGCCGAATTTGTACCCAATGCTAAAGACAGCTATACAATTATTATACAAAAACCCACAAAGATGGCCCCAAGAGATGAGCCGGTTGTAAGTCATAGCTTCAAAGTTGGTGATCTGGGTAAGGTATTGCTCACTGTGGACAATCCAACCTCAAAAAAGAAGAAGCTTCTCTACAGGTTCAAGGTCAAACCCTTCTCTGATTGAGATATCATTCTCTTTAGAAAACTTGGGTATGGAAATTTAATTTATTCTTAGGTGGTTAGTTATTTTTGGGGCATTTGTAAAATCGTGTCTTTGATGTAAGGAGAATGCTGATAGAGGGTGCAACATGTCTTTGAATTTTGTTTTCAGTATGTGAGGTTTTGCAAAGAAATAGAAACATTGCTAGCTTCTTTGAGCAAGCATAAATTTCGGGACTAATGGAGAGAAATATTATGGCTGTAGAAGTTATATGTACCTAAATTCAATTGATTTGCATTTGTGTTATCTTGACTCTATATTTCATTTCCTATCATGTCTATATTTTGGAACCACTAACGTCTGCGTCGATTCAGAAGAATATAATCTGCTGTCTACATAGGTCTGTGTGATTCCTTAAATTCCGGACAACATTCTATTGAGCATGCATTTCATTCTATAGGATACTGACCTTATTCCTGGTAATTACTTACATCATATTGTTTGTATCTCTTCACAATCAAAGTTAGGATGAATGCTTGCTCTCATCTTTTGACAGCAGATTGTTACTACTCACTGGTGCTGAAAATTTAGCATTAATCTCTAGAAGACATGAGGAATTGCCTAGAATATTTTTCTTTACTGACTATAATTTCTCAAATTTTTTTTGTCCAAATTGAGACCTACCACTTGGCAGCTCTCTTAGATAATTAGTTTATTTTTACTCTTTACTTGGTTATTGATGTAATTAGAGAGATGAAAGGGGAGCAATTTAGTTACCATGAATCTATGTTGGAGAGAAACACCACCTTCCTTGCTGATACTAACATCATACTATATGTGGATCATGATAACCAACATTTTCACTGGAAGTTGCACAGTCTGAAATGCCATCTTATATCCCAGATGATTTATGAACTGAAGAATTGTCATATTCTTCCTTCTGGTCCTTTTGGGACCACTTTGATTTGAAAGACTGATGTTTGAAGATCAGATAGAAGGGATGTCTTTAAGGGTAAAATTTGTCTGGGAACATGCATCTTTAAAAATCTGCTATTATGCTAGTATTTTCTTCTTCCTCTAGATTTGTCTCTTGAGAAGTTTGGGTCTTCCACCCCCCCCCCCCCCTCCCCAAACAAACCCTTTCCAAGTTTTAAATTGGATATCTTTTCATTATTTTTCCTTGCAATGAGTCCTTTCTGAAGAGACAACCACTAGGCTTAAAGCAGACACTAAATTACCAGAAGTTAGCTTTTACAAACCAACTTGAATGGGCCTTTTGGTCAGTTTGTGATACTATTTGGCTGTGTAAGTCTGTGATCTCGATGCTTGCAGCACATGCAGGTTTGTTCTGTTTCATGACCTTTGTCTGTGGTCAATGACTTGTTGATCCAATTTAAAAATGAACATTTATTTTCTATTGTTCTTGTCATTTTCATTTTGGACGGCTCTTGTTCTTGTAATTAAGTTGCATAATTTACATTAATAATTTAATTGTGATTACAAATCAATCAAGACACCCTATACATGAACAACCTCTAGAGAAAACTAAGAGAGTTGTTTAGTTTTTGATAATATTATAATTACAATATTATATAAGATGATAAGATTACAATTATGATTTGACATTAAATAAATATAACAGGACATCCAACCCTTGGTGACCTAGTAACCATCCTCTTGAATGAGTAGGTTAGGATATAATGTCCATTCGTGACCTAGTGGCCATCGTATTGAATGAGTAGGTTAGGATATAATATCCTGAGTTCTATATTCAAGATTTACTTCGTCTCTCCAAAACAAATTCCCTTATGTTCAAAAAATAATAATAAATAAATAAATATAATGCGACATTGAGCGAATAGATACATATAATATTGTAAATGAACACTTAAATAAAAAAAATTAGTTATATAATAATATATTATGATGTCAGATTATAATATCATATAATATTGTAATTATAATATTTTTATTTAATTTTTTACCCAAAAAAGGAGAAAAAAGTTGAGATAGTTGAAATAACAATTGATGCACATGGGATTTGAACCCATAGCCCATTGGTTTTAAGGTCTTTTAGTCAATTCTTTCGACGCACCAAACCAAGATATCATTTTATATAATCGATTCTTTTGAATCTCTATAAATGGCAAATAGATTGATATTTAGATATTATGCATTTGTACTACATTTTAAATTTGTAGGAGTTTGGTATTGATCCTTGCTTCTATTAGCCCTCTAGTGAGTCATAGCTATTCAATTTTCCAAGTATTGATAGCTCCAAGTTGAATAAGAAAAAGGTAGTGCTAATTCATTGCATGTAATTGGTTTGTTGAGCTTTCAATTTTTAGGTGGAAATTTTGTTGGGTAGGTAGTGTTGCAATACCCTCATCATACCATTTTTTTTCCTCCCCCTTGATTTGCAATTAACCCAAAAGTACTTTTTTCATAGCAAAAGCAAAAACCCAATTGCACTTTTGTACAGGCATGACTAAACACCCTAATAACAAATAATTTCTTCTCTGCCGTTATCATTTTTGTGAAGTTTGCCAAACAAATCAAACAGCAACCTGTGGAACCTAGAAACAACTTTAACCTTTCTTTTTGAAAGCTTTAATCTTTCTTTATGTCTTGGTTGGTTGGGCTAAAGATTCTTAGGGGTGGCCCTGAAACCTAAAACATGATTCTTCTATGACAGTTGGCTTGAGTTGAATAACAAACAACCATGTTTGGAGGCTTTTGCTTTTGTACAGCTCACTTGCACGGCAGTATCATTTTAAAAAATAAAATGGAGAAATCAAAGTAATATTAGTTTGGAACTTGAATATAAAATCTTCTTGTTACACTTAATCATATATAATAAGGAATGGTTGTTTCATTTTCTAAACATCTCTTCACTAAGATTTGAACCAAGACTTCTATTTTCTAAACATCTCTTCACTAAGATTTGAACCAAGACTTCTATTATGGATATAAGCTCTAAAAATGTTGGAACATTTTTACAAGACACCAAAATAAAATTATTTATCTTTGTTTGTCTTTGTAACATGACATAATGCATAAGCATTGAAAAGAGCTTGGATATGGGTTCACAAAAGTTTTGGGCTTATCAAGACCTAACCCATCTCAACTTTGGGCTAAACTTTAGTTAGCTCAACCTCAATTCTAGCTAAGTAAACCCAATCATGAAATTCTTTGCAACAAAGTAGAGGTGAATATTTTTCATATATTGGTCGGATATAAGTTATATTTAATATTTAATTCAAAAATTTTTAGTATAATTTTTTAAACTTAAACTTATCTAAATACTTGAATACCTATATTTGATACTTAATCTAACAAATATCGGGTAATATTTGGATATATATTTATATACTTAGTTTAGATATGATTCTTATCCAAATGGGTAAAATACTTACAAGTAACAGTATACCCATATCCAATGTTCACCGTCGGCAACAAGTGTCTCAAGGTTGAAACATTTTATTGGATATATATATAAAGGATTAACCTAAACTAGAGTAAATTTAAGAAATTTTTATGCCAATTTTTAATCACACATTTTAAAATTAAAAAATATATATTTTATAGAGTAAATTGCACTTTTAATGTGTAGTTCAAATTATAAAACATGAATCTTTTTTAAAATTTAAAAGACTATTTTAAAATTTTAAGTATTGAAATAACTATTGAAATTTTAAAATATATTACTAAAAATTAGTGTAACACTGACACTAATATAACTAAATCTTAACTCTTTTCAAAAAAATATTTAGGGTGACCTTTGCTTTCTCATCAAATAAAAAAAAATGTTTAATTTTTGGATGGTAAATAGCTATCTAGATGATGATATTAGGATATAACTCTAAGATGACGACATGAGGAGATAACTCTAATATTGCGAAGGTTGTTTGTTGGAGCTTAAAAGCAAAGATATAATTCATTGACTAACTCATGGCGCTGCATACGTACTTAATGATAGCACACTTAGGTAAGCATATTGCATAGCATTACATAACACACAACACCAATTTAGACTTGGTAAAATTAGATTTAATTTGAAAGTTTGACCTAATTTATTTATTTATTTTTTGGCGTAATGACCTAATTTATTTATTATGAGTAGATTTATGGGTCTAAAAAATCAACTCAAAGTGATTTTTTTTTAAATTAATTAATTTTTTTAAACTTAAAATGTTGATTATTAAATTTTTAATTTTAAGTTTTAAATATAAGATAAAATTAAATATTATAAAATAGTTATTACTATTTATTAAATTATTAGTGTTAATATTAATTTAATGTATTTTCAACTAAATGATTACTTAATATTAATTTTTTTAAAAAAATAGAAAAAATACAAAAAAACTTTATTTATAATTTTAATTTTTTTAAAAATTGAGTTCACCTGACTCAGTTCAAGAGTAATCATCAATCTACTCCTTTTAATACGAAATTCAAGATCTAAAATGACCCAATTCAATAAATTCAAAATGCAAGATGATTCAATTTGACTTGTTTGTCAGGTTTACACTATTTCATGACATTGCTCATAGATTAATTCATGAGAATGCTTATAACCTTAATATATATACTAGTTACTAAACGAATGATTCATGCTTTATATGAGAAACTAATTCATGACGTAGCCTTAGTACAAGTTCGAGACACTTGAGTTAGGCAAGCTTCATCAATGCCTAAATGATATGATTCCACATTATGATGGAAAACACATATACAAGATTTTTCTAAATTATTTTCTTTCTTTCTTTTTTCTGAAAAGGGCCATCTTAATTAATTTCAAAACCAATAATTTAGAATTACTAGTGCATTACCAATTCCAAATGATTTACTTTCAATTCCTAACAACACATCTATCAGTTTGAGTGAGACACCTCTTTTGTTTAGTGAAATGAAAATGATTGGTATACATTCGGTTTAACACATTTTTTAACATATTTTTTAACACACTTTCGATTTAGTTATTAAAAAAATAATATAAATAAAGTCAATTCAATAGATTTTTGTATCATGTGTGCATGATTGTATCATTAAATTTGTTTGTTTTAAATTTCAGATTAAAAAATAATATTTTTTAATAAATGTGTCATGCAGTGTATTGAATTGAAATGTGTTACTAATCACTGTCCTTAGTAAAAATTTGTGTTTTTAGTATGAACTGCTCAGACAAAAAATACAATCTAAACTATAAAAGTATTTATATGCCTTTTATAAAATTTTTAATATTTTTAAAGTATATTTTTTAATGCAGTCCAAATACGATCTGAAATGAGAATATCCACACTCTATTAATATCACGACAAGAAGTATTTCATGACATTTTCAAAATAAATTTCATAAAGGGACAAATACTTGACCAACACACATGCAGCCTCCCTGGGGATTGTCTGTAAATCACAAAATAGCGTCTATAAATCACAAAATAGCGTCTATGCACATGCTACATGTTCCCCAAGATTCAACCTAATGCATGCAGTCCCTTCCATAGCCTATGGTCGGGAGCAGGATTGTCAAACATCAACGTTATTTCCTTGTCATCTGTGTTTCTGGATTTTATACATGGAAGGTCAAGGGGGTGACCCTGATCGCACCCCGCACCTGCTCGCTTTTCTTTTTGGATTCAATGGATTTTTATATGTAAGATTTTTTCTTCTCTCACTTCTTGGATGCTTTCTGTTGATGCCGATTGCCGAGGCCTCTTGTTTTTGTCGCTTCCTCACCAAAGACACCAACGCCCACCACAAGGAGATCCTAGATAAGACGGGTCTCAACGGGAACAACTATGGTTAAGGCAAAAGGTGCAGATCACCCCCTTAACTCACCTATTGGTGGCAAATCACCCCCTCAACCCATTTCACGCGCATACTACCCCCTCAACTCACTTTCAGTGGCAAATCACCCCCTGGCACCATTCTTCCGTTAGCTTTTAACCGTCCGTTAACCCATCCCTTTTTTGCGTTTGACGTGGCATTTTTTATGCTGAGATGGACAAGCCACCTGGACAAATCATCCAGATAAAAAATGCTGACTGAAGAGTTAAGACAGAGAAAATTAGTGGCTAGTTACCAGCACCGAAGACCGAACCCATGGAAGAGATGATAGAGACCCAGCACAAAGCAAGACTCGCCATTTTTGAACTGGTCAACATGCTAAGCGTTCCTATGTCCCTCAACGCCATCGTCCGCCTCAACGTTCCAGACGCAATATGGCAAGGTGGGGCTAATACCGCTCTCACCGCCTCCCAGATCCTTGCGAAAGTTCTCCCCTCCGGCGGTGGGGATGCCGAGAACCTCCAGCACATCCTCCGTATGCTCACTAGCTATGGTGTGTTCGCGGAGGTACTGCATGATACTGACCGTGCGGAGAGAAAATACTCACTAACTGAGATCGGGAAGATGATCGTCACCGACGCCGACGGTCTTATCGCCACCCCCTGTACTTTTATTTTGCACGTGTATTACATAACACCACCAAAAATCCGAAATCAATTTCAAAATGTGCCTCAATTATGTTTTTCTTTTTCTTTTTCTTTTTCTTTTTGACAGAAGAAAATTAGAGCAATTGGAGAAGGAAAAATGGGAATATAAAGAAGTTGAATTTTGAGAATATATATGAACAAAGCACTCATATAGTAAACTATACAAGTTATGGGCTGGGTTGTTCTTCAAGTCTGTTTTTCTTAGTTGCTCCTAACAATTGAAATGTTATCATTAATTGAGTTTAACAAAAAAATAAAGTTCCTGCTAAATCATGGGCATTGGAGGAGGCCAAACAGGAATCAGGAAAATGATCAAAAATAAAAAAAAGGGGTCCTTTATTTAGAATTAGAGGCTCCACGCTTGGCAAGCTGTTTGCAATGCCGTTGTCTTCACTTATGTATGGCTAAGTCACTCATCAGCAAACTTCGGATTCCGCCAAATCGACCCACTTTCGGCCGTCGATCAGATTCCCCTCCCTGATCAGCGCGGTATAGCAACGAACCAGAACCGGTACTGGTTTCATGGATTAAAAAAAAAAAAAAAAGGCAGCTTTTGAGTTTTTTGCCCTTTTGAATTTTCCCTCTAGGGTTCAAGTTCCTCCATTCAAGACAGCAAGCTTTTGTCGTTCTCTTCTTCTTCGGTAATGGGTGTGAAGGAGCAAGGGCGGAGTCGGGTTTCTTCTACCTGTGTTGTATTGACTGTATCCCCAAAATGAGTTGGGGTTAAACTGCTAAAGAAACGTTACTATCTTGGATTATCAGATTGATCTTCAGTTGATAGCTAGCTCTGCTGTTTCTAGCTTGCGGGAGGATGACAAGAACAATGTAAATCTCAAGGCTACATAGCGTCTGGAACGTTGAGGCGGACGATGGCGTTGAGGGACATAGGAACGCTTAGCATGTTGACCAGTTCAAAAATGACGAGTCTTGCTCTGTGCTGGGTCTCCATCATCTCTTCCATGGGTTCGGTCTTCGGTGCTGGTAACTAGCCACTAATTTTCTCTGTCTTAACTCTTCAGTCAGCATTTTTTATCTGGATGATTTGTCCAGGTGCAGCATAAAAAATGACAGACGCAAAAAAGGGGTGGGTTAACGGACTGTTAAAAGCTAACGGAAGAATGGTGCCAGGGGGTTATTTGCCACTGAAAGTGAGTTGAGGGGGTAGTATGCGCGTGCAATGGGTTGAGGGGGTGATTTGCCACCAGTAGGTGAGTTAAGGGGGTGATCTGCACCTTTTGCCGCTTAAATAGTGCTAGTTTAATAATGACTATCAATTTTTAGAAAACCCATCCCCTATGAATGGGTGGTTAATTAAGAAAAAATTGTTAGAAATTGAAAAGAGGAAGAAATATTTGTGTTTTTTTTGTTATTGTATATATAAAGAACCTATATATATATATATATATAATATTTGTGTTTTTTTTGTTATTGTATATATAAAGAACCTATATATATATATATAT